CCGTTTTTTGAGTTTTTAAAATATAAAACACGGTTTTTATTTCTAAGATGTCTGGTTATTTTCCTTAACTACTAAGTATAGTGTGTGTTTCATCACCTGTTTTTTTTTTTTTTGTTGATTTCCTTTTTCATCTCTTTGAAAATATTAAGTGTATTCATTTAATATTTCTAACCCAGATTTCTGTATTCTGTCAAGCATTTACTGGCCAATTTCTCCCTTGGACTGTGTGGGGATAATCCCACCAACTTCATAGAGTTGTATGAAATCAGATAGTATTAAAAATTCAGAGAACACTGGTAGCACAAATAATAAGCCTACTTTTTTTTATCACTTTTCTCATCATTTGACTATATTCTGTTCTTTGATTCTCAATGATAGTCCCATCCTTACCCCTTCTATTTTGCACCATCTATTACTTTAAGAAGAAATTAAAAGTGTACATGTCATTCATTCCTTCTCCTAATTGTTTTCTTCTTCCATTTTTTTATCTCCCCTAATTGGAAATTCTATAATATCCCTCAAGATTGGAAAATGTCTCTTGGCATACCTCCTGGTTGACTAGTAGCAGTTTTTCTTATATTCTACCTTTATTTTAGGGAAGCCTAAATCTACTTCCTGTGTTGATAAATTGGCTCACCACACCTAGTTGCTGAAGTGATTACTCTTCATTGCTTTTCTCAATTATGTAATTATCTTTATTAAATTAATGCATTTAAATGCTAGCACATTGTGCCATGCACATAGTAAGTTCTTAGTAAAGTTAGTTATCATTATTTTTAACTTCTTTATCTTTTTGAAAAGAGAATGATAATTAAAAATTTTTTTCTAAAGATTTTATTTATTTATTCATGAGAGACACAGAGAGAGAGAGAAAGAGCGCGGCAGAGACACAGGCAGAGGGAGAAGCAGGCTCCACGCAGGGAGCCCAATGTGGGACTCCATCCCACGTCTCCTGGATCACACCCCAGGCTGAAGGCAGTGCTAAACTGCTGAGCCACCAGGGCTGCCCAAGAATGATAATTAAAATTGATGATATTCTTTAAATATCTTATTATACTAAAATAGCAAAATGAAAATTGATTTGAGAGTTTCTCTTTTAACATTTAAGGGAGATGCAAGGAAACCTTTTTTACAGATTTTTAAGGATTGTAAAAATAAGATTGTTCTCAAAGGCAGTAACATTGTCTGCATAAAATCAAATCCCTTCTGATCCTGTGGCTGCTTCTTGTATTTGGTAAATGTAATCTTGTCATCTATGCTAAGAAATTATTCTAAAACACAAGAAGTTTTGAGCATAAAGATCGGTTTTCCCCCAAAATACCTTTCTATTTATACATGTTTAAAAACTAGAAATATCTTGTGAATTTACTCTGATGATACCTAAAGACTCAAACAAAATGGGAACATGCTTGTTATGATGTAAAGAGAAAAATGTAGGATAATAAACTGTATAGGTTGTTAACTCAAATACTGGAATAATGCACAGAAAAAAGACTGAAAGGAAATTCACATAATATTAACTGTGATTGGTTTAGAGTGATCTTTTTCTGCTTACTTTCCTGATAATTTTTTCCTATAATTTCCTACAATGACTGAATTGTTTGAAAAATCAAGGAAATAGAGCAAAAAAAAAAATCAATGGTCTAGTATTAGCTGCATGACTTAACTTACAAGTTGTTCAAATCAATTGAGATAGAGTATGTGAAAGCATGTTGTCAACTATAAACTGAAGTAGTAAGCTAAATTATTGTTATTATCAATAACTGAAGGATAATATAATTAATCTTTTGAATTCTTTGCATGGAGAGCTCTCTTTTCAGTCAATTTCATCTAATTTATTTTTGTCAATACAAATGGGGTTCCAAAACACTTGGAAAACCTCCCTGTGGATAATAAACTATATTATCTTTTTTGTTATTGCTTTGAACTTTACTGTGATGATAACAAACAAAACCCTTTAAGCTGGTTTTACCTCCTATTCTTATACCCAAGGTAGCAGCAGTATCTCCCTTAAAAAAAAGTGGGGGGAGAAGAAAAAATAAAACTATTCAGATTTAAAATCTATAACTTTCTCTAAAAGGTGAGTTAAAGTATGGGCAAAGAAAATACCAAATTTACAGGAACAAATATATACTTATTAAGTAACACATTAACTGCAAGTAATTTCATATGTAGATTATCTGTAATTTGAATGCAACTTTCTAATTTTTTTTTAATGTGGGTAGTTTCAAAAGTCCTTTGGTGTTTAATAACGTGCTATTATTAAGACAGTTGTTTAAGTGCAGATGTTTTGTTTAGTGCCTGATGCTTTCAAGATACTGCCTATGAGAATGTTATTACTTATAGTTGAACTATTTTGGGGCCTCTTGACTTCCTTCCTTCTCGGTACCAGTTATGTGTCTGATGGTTTGGTAGACAATGGAGGGCCAGCTATGAACAGGCTAGATACAGATCCATCCTTGGGTTATAGAATCTTGTCACACAAATATTTGAGTGTCTGGTTTGTACCCAGCCCTATCCTGAGAATTTTAGGGTTCCCAAAGAAAACCGTACCCCTGCTGAAGAGCTTTTGAGTTCTTACCCTCTTGCATGGTATTTTCCTGACTGCTACATAATAGTTTAATTTTACTTTACCTGACTTCTAAAACAGAAGAATTGAGAATAACCAGAGTCAGTCAGCTTTTCATCTAAGACTAGGTACCCAGCTAAACTGAGGAGAATCCAGGTGTGAGAAAATTGATTTAAAATAAAAGATACTAAAAAAAAAAAAAAAGAAAGAAAAAAAAATAAAATAAAAGATACTAAAAAAAATAAAAAATAAAATAAATAAAATAAAATAAAAGATACTAAAAAAATAATAAAATAAAGATACTAATTCTGCCATAGAGTTTTAGAATTATGATGTATTCAGTCATATCATTTTTGAATAAGTTAATGCTGTTTTGCTATATTTTCTTATGGTCATTTCAGATATGCAGACATGGGATATATAAATTCTGACTAGCTAATGAGCAGCATAAATGAATGACAGTAGAGACTATTAATTTGTATATATTTAATGTCTTCTGAAAGGAAAGCACATTTATTTAAAAAATAATTTATAGGGCTTATAGTATAGGATTTCCAAAATCTCACAGTGGAAAAGTAAATGTTATTTATTTAATAAAATTTTATAACATCTTGCAATTAATATTCATTTAGTTTTATGAAAGTTTAGAAGTTTACCATAAGAGGATACTTCTGTGGATGTTATGATATAAACAAAACAATTCTAAAACAGGTTTATTAATCATACAACTATTTCAGAAGTCATGTTAGAATGTGATTTTAGAATATAATTCTAATTCATTTTTTATGGGTTAAGGATGTGAGAGAAATGTCATGTAACACTACATTATTTGGAGTAGAGAGGGCTTGCTTATAGGGAAGTGAGAAACTCCATTTTGTGTTTGTTAAACCCCTAGCTTTCTGCCATGCCAACCCTGACTTTTAGTCACCACCCTACCTATATGTGTTTCACTGATCCTTTTCCTGTTCTGTAGAGAATTTTGTTCAAATAGTATTCTTGGAGAAAGCCATACCACTATCTACCTCTGGCCCAATGCAAAATCAATCTAACCTACTCCAACTGGGTTTTCATTGCTGCTTCACAATCTTGTTATTGATCTCCCATTTATTCCCCAGCACACTTCCCTCAGCAGGTGCTTCAGATCCTTCTGCTCACACATCTAATTCACTACTTACCCTTTCCATTCTCACCAGATAATATCCATCCTACTGTACTGTGAAATTTACAGTTAGCTAGTGCTTTTTCATTTTTCCTGGTCTCTACCTTAAACAGCAAACTTTTATTGTGTATCAACCATGTGGCAGGCTCCTCTGCTTATTGCTGGCATATAGTACGTGCTCAATAAATGTTAAAATGCATGTATTGTGTTGATGAAAAGATAGGTTTAGAGGCTGAGATACTTTAGGTAGAGGAGAAGGAGAAAGGAAGTACACGTTAGATACTATGACCTTGGATGTTCTTTCTTAGTAAAGAAAGATGGTTTCCTATCTCAAAGAGAGAGGTGTTTTTTATTTCCAGGGCTAGACTCTTCATACCATTCCTTTCTTCTTCCTTTTGAAAGTGATCTGACTCTCTCAAAGGAGGACAACTTCACTATATCGAAACACACCCCCCTGAAACCCATCATCATCAACTAAAACTTTGACCCTACTGACTATAACCATCCCATTTTCATACTTCCCTTTTGCTTAAGTGCTCTGCAGTTACTACAGTATACTCATTTCCTTGTTACCTATATTGTCCTCTTGCATCCATTTGTTCTGTTTTCTTATTCCCATCTATACCAACTAAAATCTCACCTATTTATTTTTAAATCGCACCTATTTTTTAAGACTCACTAAGTCTTCTTTGGCCCCTGTAACTGGAACCTTTCTTGAGGGGGGCCTGCAATGTCTGTGCTGCTCCTATGGCATATATCTTAACCTGCCTTCTACTTCTATGCAACGCCGTGGGTTTCATGTCCTTAACATAGACAGGGTTTAGTAGATATTGGTTGAATGAGTGTTGATTAATTGAATATCTTAAATGGGGATGACAAAAGAAAAAAATGGTTAATATTTTTACAAAATAAACTTTTGCTTTAATCACTCTAATAAATCATTTTAAATGCTATTTCTATCCATGTCTTGGCACTCCAACAAATGAAACTGTCAGCGATTTGGCTAGTTTTAGTTTTTAGCTAGCAGGATGTTATTGGAGATAATGATGTTGGTATAGCCTTATTCCTTGCCTTTATTGTGGGAGGAAACTAATGCCTTATACGTATTACTAAAGTCTAGATTTCTCCAATGAAACTTAAAGGGATTTGAGAGTCACCTGGAAAAGACTGGCTTCTGAACCAATTTCAAGGTGGATTTTTAAGACTACAAATGGGAATTTCTGGTTTGCTTTCAAATGGTTCTGATATTCTTCATTTTGTTATGTTTTTCAGCTGGTACTGGTTATCACTGCACTTTATCAAATGGCATCCTCATTTCAATTGAGAATGAAGAGGTTCTTGGATAAAGAACTTTAAAAATCAGGTACAATAATAACGTCATGGATGATTCTTGGAATTTGCTAAAATGAAATGCTGCATCTAAGTGCAATATAAGTACAACGTCTTAGCCATATAAGATCATTATCATAAAGTAATCATTCATGATTAAAAAAACTCTAATTGAATCATTATTCTTTCCAAAAGATTTGAATTCTAAGAATACTTCCCAGAAGCTCTCAAATTTAATATGGAGCAGGAAATATTGCAATGAGTCCTCAAGAGTGAGAAATATAAAAAACCGTTGTGATGTTCTTTCATTGTGTTTTTTAAATTTCATTATTCATAACTGTATAGTACTTATGCATGGTGAAGAATGTAGTCATAGGAGAATGTATCTGTCAGCATATTAGTATATAAAAAAGAATAAAGTAAAAATGAAATAAGCATGCTCAGTAGGTTCTCATATTTCATATTTGAAAATTTAGCTATATATTCCTTTTGAAACAAATATAAGAAAACAATAAATAACATTTTTAAAGCGTGTATGTCATGACTAAGTAAAAGAAACTTTTATGTAGATGGATAAAGCTAGCTCTGTGATTTCTTATTTTGACTGCTTGGACAATACCAACAGCAAGATAATGGCCCAAATATGCATATCAATTTGTAGCTGTAGCTACAAGGACACAAACGATATTTTAATATTCAATTAGAAATATTACATATATAAAATTCATAGAAATCTAACACTAAATTTTGTGGTGGTTAAGATTTTCAGTGAAGTCTATGGTCAGTATAAAATTTCAGAATTTCAGGTATGCCTGGGTGGCTCAGTGGATGAGTGTCTGCCTTTGGCTCAAGTTGTGATCCCAGGGTTCTGTGATTGAGTCCTGCATCAGGGCTCCCCATAGGGAGCCTGCTTCTCTCTTCGCCTGTGTCTCTGCTTCTCTCTGTGTGTCTCTCATGAATAAATAAATAAAATCTAAAAATTAATAAAATAAAATTTCAAAATAATGTTCAGAGTTTGAAAGTACGATAGATATCACAAAGGAGAAAGAAAAGAAATTGTAAACATCCACCTAGAAAAGATTGGAGATGGCAACTCTTTTAACTCATTCTCTCTTCAAGCCAGATTTGAGTGTTGCTTTGTTTTCTAGTTGCAGAACTAGAGGGATATCCATGGATGATAACTTTCTTCAAGGATGAAATAGAATGTTATATGGAGCAATAGGGTAAACTGTTTTCTTCTCTCATTTGTTTATGGATTCATGGTCTTCTTTTGCCCCCAAGGAGACTGTAATTTGGTGGGAAACATAGGTCTAGGCTCCATGAAACAACTGAAGAATGAGGCAGACTATCATATCATTCCAGTGAATGGTGATAGGCCACATAATAAAATCAAAAAGGTAGATGAAATTAAGTGAAAGATCAGTGTTGAGTAACTTAAGAAAATTTCCTTGAAGAAAGTATACCATTAGATGGACACAAAGTATTAGGTTTAGGTTGACAGAAAGAAGGAAAGCATGTACTTCTAATAAGAGACACAGCAACTAAGAAGTCAGAAATGGGAATTAGCAAGGAAAAATCAGAGATGAAATTTGCTCAACTGGAGTAAAGGGTGAAATTAAAAGTTGAAGTGACACATTAGGGTTAGTTTTCTGTGAACTTGAACACCAGGCTAAAACAACACCAGGCTAAAACATTTATATTTGACCTGATGGGAAATAGTAAGAAACTGTGGATTCAACCAAAGCCAGAATAAAAGAGTGTTTTAAGTTATAGGAGTTTTAGGATGGCTGGGTGGCTCAGCGGTTGAGCATCTGCCTTGGGCTCAGGGCGTGATCCCAGAGGACTCCTGGGATCGAGTCCCACATCTGGCTCCCGGTGAGGAGCCTGATTCTCTCTCTGCCTATGTCTCTGTCTCTCTCTGTGTCTCTCATGAATAAATAAATAAAATCTTTTAAAAATAAATAAATAAAAGTTCTTTTAAAAAAATGTATAGGAGTTTTAAGGATACATCTGAAGAAGAAATTCCTAAGAAGTTAATATTTTGTTACAAAAAATTTTTTGAGAAAGCTGAAGACAGGGTTCCTTTTAGACCTCTAGGAGTTTGAATCTGGTTGGGGAGATAGACTGTGCCTTTGAGATAAAAGTAGTCTTTGGTTAAAGTATAAATTTGGTCACTGATGCTTTTCCTAGAAATAGTTAAGAAAAATAAACTTTAATTCAATTATCCAAAAAAGTTTTGATTCTTCTGCCTGGAGATAAGAGGTTGATTTAGTTTATGTTACAATGATTAAGAAACCCACACATATACCATAGAAGGTAAATATGTACATATGCTACCTAGTAAGAGAGCATATTGTGTTTTTAAATCATGAAAAATAAAAATTTATTTTGTCCTAGTAATTAAAACATGGACCATGGTTTCACAGGAAAAGCATGGATCATGGATCCAAGGTCTGCAGATTGATAGAGAAGTAGAGAAGGTTAAACTATCTTCTAAGCCTCAATTTACCCAACAATAAAATGGCAATAATAGGGGTACCTAGCTGGCTCAGTTGGTAAAGCATGCAACTCTTGATCTTGGGTTGTAAATTTAAGCCCCAAGTTTGGGTAGAGTTCACTTAAAAATTTTTTTAAATAAATAAAATGGCAATAATAATTGTATCTACCTCAGAGCTGTCATTAAATGATGAACCATATATAAAGTACCTAGCATATAATTGGTATGGTAACAGTAACGGCAATGATTATATATAAGTAATTACTAAATATTATTGAATTGAGTTAAATTTAAGGAAAATTTCCTCTCTTTATATATTTGTAAAAATTACAAAATTAGGGCAGCCCGGGTGGCTCAGTGGTTTAGCGCTGCCTTCAGCCCAGGGCATTATCATGGAGCCCTGGGATCGAGTCCTGCATTGAGCTCCCTTCATGGAGCCTGCTTCTCCTCTGCCTGTGTCTCTGCCTCTTTCTCTGTGTCTCTTATGAATAAATAAATAAAATCTTTTTAAAAATCACAAAATTAATAAATCCTAATTTATTAATGATTTATGAACTAAAATTTACTTCATAATATTATTTTTATTCTAAAAATAAGTAAAAATAAGAAGTAAAATAAATTTTAGGTCAGAGAATACAATGTTATATTTCTAATGTGTTTGTGATCCTTGATGGATTTGTTTCAGTTAGCAGATGTCTCTCTTCCTACCCCAAAGGCAGAAACTTCTTTCAGTGACTATTCCCCAACTGTGGTGAGGAGTGTACTCCTATTTTTCAGATGAAGCTATATGAAATAAGTAGCATTCAGGAAGTTTGTTGAAAAACCAGTACTTTAAGTCATGGCATTTGGTTTACATCACTGTGTTGACTTTGTTGTCCCTCGGTAGTTTTATAGTGCCTTGCTTTGTAGAGGAAAAGTTGTGGTTATGAGTGTGTCAGATCTTCAAACTATCCCAAGGACCACATTTGGCCAATCTAAGGTCCCTAAGGATTTAATCCTTTAGGATTTAATCCTAAAATTGTACTCCTGGTTCTTCCCATATCTGTACTATACATTGAGTATAAGAGATCTGAGAGTATGGTAATAAATAAAATGAAAATGAAGAATTAAAATAGAAATTCATATTTGATAGCCTTAAGTAGTAATAATGAAATTTTAATTTGAAATTGTCTTATTAAATTTTAATTTGAAAATGTCCTGTATAGAGGCTACTGGGGCTTTTGGCTTAATGGAGTATTAAGGTCTGATACTTCCTCTAACTGGGTGAATCAGTGTAGTGAGATACTAGTGTTCTTAGTCTATACAGTTATGAAGAAATGAACAATGGTAATCTTTCTCCTGAAGTATTTATTTTGGTAGCTCCTCAAGAGATAGTCCAAAGTTTCTGCTTTACTGGAGAATCATCTACCTCATTACCACTTTGGCATCACTGATCACATATCTTAAAATGGATTGTGTGTGTGTGTGTGTGTGTGTGTGTGTGTGTAGAAAAAAAATCACTCAAGATGGCAAAGTAAATTCTTTGTTACTTAGTTAGACTAGGTAAGTATTTCAGCCTATATGCGAAGGGAGTTTTGCACAAATGCATTTGACAAAACACTGAGGAAAATAGACTTTTGTTACTAGACATGAGTGTCTATGCCATACAAACAAACAAACACACACATCTAACCCCTCCTAAAAAAAAAAAAAAATAAAGAGAAAAGGGAAGGGGGAAAACACCACAGCTTAAATGATGGGTTTTGTAAATGCTCTGCTGTTTTACAATTTTACAATTGAAATCACAGTTTCCTTTTTCTTCTTTCTACTTTTATACACACAGGCTAGAAGATGGACTTTTGGCAAGCCATAATAGACTGCTCCTTTCCCAGGTATCTCCTGCTTGTTTCCTTTATCTGTGAATAGGAAATGGCTTAAAGGCACCTGTGTGATGAAGGTCCCAGGGGCAGCTGCCTGACTAGTGAATGCCTGATTATGTGTTAACATGCTTTGTCAGATATTGGCAGAATCTGTTCTCTTCTTTTGCCTTTTCAGCAAGGGTACCATTGACAGCCTGGCTACCCATTTATAGAAATGTTGTCCATCAAACTGTGAGGAAGGACAATAGTGTTTTTCTGTGGCCAGTGACTGTGGGAAACTTTTCTTTGGCTATTCAGGCAATTTTTGTAGCTTGCTCTGAAGAGGAGAGACTGATGAGTGCAAAAAGTACAATTAAGCAAAGCCAGACTTCAATTGAAGGCTCTAGTGTAGTCTGCTGTTCTCATTTTTTTTTTTTATTTAGAGGGGGGGAAACCCTATGGGTTTTCACGTTGCTGTGTGGCATTCAGCAGGGGGCTATTACAATCCTAAATTTTTTTTCTAGACCACCTAATTCTAAGTTAAAATTAAATGTAATGAGAGCCACTTGGAGTTCTGAATATTTTAAAGCATAATTCCCACAGAAGGGATTCGACCTAAACTGCAGTGAGCATCAGTTGGCTAATTATAGCTGCATTTTATATTACAGCAGGTGTCAGATGCAGTCATCTCAATAAAGTCCACATAATACTCTGGGAAATAACAAAGACTTTTCTTTGAATGTGGGTACTAATTTCTGCTAGGTGTCATATGAGCCTTGATACTTCTTATTGGCATTAACAAGAGCACTGCAGCACTCAGAAATGCTTTTTGCTTGGGATGAATTGATACTGTAAAGCACTTACCAGTCAGACTTGGCAGATGTCAGTAGTTAATACTAATGTTGCAGAGGTCGGAATATAATGCAAAGAGTCTTATGTAAATACTCTTAGATGATGGGCTGGTTTTGAGAAGGCGCCTGAGCACTGCACCAACTCACTTAATGAAAGTTAAATAGATAGCAGTGGGATATCTGCTTTTAGTTTGGCTCCTGCTTTATTGCAAGTCCTTCAGAAGTGAAGGGCAGATGGTAAGGCAGTAAACTAGGTGAACAAAATACACTGGACTTGGATAAGGACTTTTTATGTTCGCAGTACTTTCCTTGAACTTGTGTGGGTGATTCAAATTACTAAAGTGACAGGGCAGAGGCATGCCTGAAGATAAGGGCTCCTGTGCATATCCCATCGCTAAAAAAAAAGTTAGAAACTATGTCTGCAGCTAAAATACAATTAGGCAATGGACTAGGCAAAAGGGATGCCACTTTAAAATCATGGTAGTTGTTCTGCACTGCTCCATTCTTTTAGAAGTTTTACAGTTTGTCAAACCTATTGTAGTCTTGTTGGATCATAGCAAATGAGATAAAAATGGAAGACCTATTAAAATCTTGTTATAAAATACCAAAAAAGATAAGACACAAAGGCAGTTGTCCTTAATTATATCCCCCAAATCAGCTTTGGGGTCTCATCTTGGTAGGTTACAGTTTATATACATCTCACAGCAAATTCTGTAGGGTGCTATCAGCAGTAAAGCAGAACTTTAGGAGTTTAATATTCATTTAACAATGATTCAAACAATGAATGAATACTGGCAGGAGCGCAGCCCTATTAAGCCCAGCAGTAAAATCCAAGATAAGAACGAGAACACATTGTCCCCAGAGTGCTGACCATTAGTTCACAAAAGCAGTGTCCCTCATAGCTGTTTGAAGATCTTTCTTTCTCTCTTTCTTTTTTTTTGGGGAGAGTAGGGGAAGGGACAGAGGGAGAGAGAAGGAGAGAATCTTAAGTAGGTTCCATGCCCAGCATGTAACCCAACGCAGGGCTTGATCTCACAACCCTGAGATCATGACCTGAGCCAAAATCAAGAGTTGGACACTTAACTGACTGAGCTACGGAGGCACCCTGTTTTGAAGATTTCTGTTAATTCTTGTTCAGATCATATATGATCATGGATTTTGGTAATTCCAGGACAAAACTGTGAAATAGTATGAAAAGTTGCAGATAAATCACTACAAAGGAGAACAAGTAATTTTGGCAATTGTTTCCTTACAGTCTTCAATAATGTTCAAGTGTTTTTAATATTTAAACCTCAATTGTGAATAATTTTATTTTTTCTTACAAAAATGTAGTATTTATTATAGAAAATTTAGAAAACACAGATAAGATTCAGTAAAGAAAATCCATCTACTACAGTGACTCAGATAACTATTAGTATTTTGGCTTCTATCATGTTTACTCTTCATCCTGCATTTATATACACATATAATATGTTTTAAATAATGGAATTTTAAATAATGGGATTTAAATATTTTATAATTATCTTTTAAAACAAACCTTATGATATACTAAGATAATAAGAATATTATTTAATTATTTATAAGAATAAATAAGAATATTTATTTACTTATTTTTAAATATTTTATTTATGCATGAGAGAAACAGAGAGAGAGAGAGAGGCAGAGACACAGGCAGAGGGAGAAGCAGGCTCCATGCAGGGAGCCAGATGTGGGACTCAAACCTGGGTCTCCAGGATCACACCCTGGGCTGAAGGCAGTGCTAAACTGCTGAGCCACCCGGGCTGCCCTACTAAGAATATTTATATTATTTAAAGTTTAAGGGGATCCCTGGGTGGTGCAGTGGTTTGGCACCTGCCTTTGGCCCAGGGCGCGATCGTGGAGACCCGGGATCGAATCCCACGTCGGGCTCCCGGTGCATGGAGCCTGCTTCTCCCTCTGCCTATGTCTCTGCCTCTCTCTCTCTCTGTGTGTGACTATCATAAAAAAAAAAGTTAAAAAAATAAAAAAATAAAGTTTTTAAATTTATTTATTAGAGAAAGAGAGAGAGGGAGCACAGAGGGAGAGGGATAGGGAGAAGCATACTCCCCTTTGAGCAAAAAGCCTGATGCTGGGCTCAATCCCAGGACTCTGAGATCATGACCTGAGCCAAATGAAGGCAGACGGTTAACTGACTGAGCCACCCGGTGCCCCAAGGATATTTATATTAATGTATATTCTTTCACAACACATTTTTACTGATTATATAATATTCTAGTACATGGATATGACATACTTTCTTTTTAAATTTGCTATCATTGTTCATTTAGATTATTTCCTATCTTTGTTTTAAAGTCTTCTCATCTGATGTAAGTATTGTTACCCAGCTTTCTTTTCATATCCATTGCATGAAAAATGCTTCTCTATCTGCTCACTTCAATCTGTATGTGTCTTTAGGTCTGAAATGAATCTCTTGTTGGCAGCATATAGATGGGTCTTGTTTTTTTATCCATTTCATCACCCTTTGTCTTTTGATTGGAGCATTTAGTCTATTTACATTCAAAGTAATTATTGATAGGTATGTATTTATTGTCATGTTGTTAATTGTTTTACAATTGTTTTTATAATTCTTCTCCATTCCTTTCTTCTCTTGATCTCTCATGATTAGTTATCTTTCTTTAGTGATAATTTGGATTTCTTTCTCTTTATTTTTTTACATCACTATTACTGGTTTTTGATTTGTGGTTGCTATTCAGTTTATATATGACATCTTCTGAATATAGCAGTCAGTATTAGGTTGATGATCACTTAAGCTTGGACCCGTTCTTTACTCCTTTCATTTTTGAGTCCCATAGCTGATTTTTACAAATATACTTATTTTTACTGCTTTTGTGCTTCCTCTTTTCCCTTACTTATGGTCTTTCCTTCCCATTCAAAGAATCCCCTTTAATGTTTCTTGTAGGGTTTGTTTAGTGATCATGAATTCCTTTCGCTGTTGTTTGTCTTAGAAACTTTTCATTTCTCCTTCTTTTCTGAATTATAGCCTTGCTAGCTAGAGTGTTCTTGGCTACAGATTTTTTCCTTTTCTGCACTTTGAATATATCATGCTACTTTCTTCTAGCTGCAAAGTTTCTGTTGAAAAATCAGCTGATAGCCATATGGGTTTTTTCTTACATTAACTGCTTTTGCTGCTTTTAAAATTTTATCTTTATCACTACCTTTTGTCATCTAAATTACAATGTGTTGTGGTGTGGACCTTCTTGGGTTGATTTTTGGGAGGGACTTCTGTACTTCCTGGATCTAGATTTCTGTTTCTTTCCCCAGAATAGTTTTCAGCTATTATTTCTTTAAATAAATTTTCTGCCCCTTTTTTTCTCTTTTCCTTCTGGGATCCCTATACTGTGAATATTATTACACTTTGTTCTCTTCTATAATTTTCTTTTCTCTCAGCTGCTCAGCTTGATAATTTTGCATTACTCTGTCCTCGAGGTCACTGATTTGTTCTGCTGCTGCTTCTGGCCTACTCTGTTTCATCTAGCATGTTTTTAATTTTTATGTTCTTCATCTCTGGTTCTTTTTTATCTCATTATTAAGAGTTTCACTGATATACTCCACTCTTTTCTCAAGTCCAGTGAGATCTTTATGATCATTATTTTAAATTCCCTATCTGTTGTATTGCTTATCTCCATCTTGCTTAGGTCTCTTGCTATGATTTTTGTCCTGTTCTTTCATTTCGGACATATTCCTCTGTCTTCTTAGTTTGTCCAATTCTTTGGGTCTATTTCTGTGTTAGGAAAGATAGCTACAACTCCTGTACTTGAAAGTAATAGCTTTACGAAGAAGAGGTCCTATAGTGCCCAGCCATGCAGTGTTCCCTGTTCATCAGAACCTGGCACTTTAGGGATGTTTCCTACGTGTGATGTGCATGCCCTGCTGTTTTAGCTGAGCTACTTTTTCCTTCAGTCCAGTTGTCTACAGTAGCTCTGTTTGCCTATTATGGACAATGTTTGGTTCCTATGGTATTAGTGAGCCAGTCTAGGGATGCCTTGGGCTTGAGTTGAGTCAGACCAGATGTTTGCCACAGATGCAGTAGCACCTACTGCAGGGTGCTTTCCCTGTGTTATCCCCTGAGAAGCTTTCATTAGTTGGCAGAGCTTGCAGTCCTAACAGTTGTCTACTTCCAGCCTACTGCTGGGGCCGCCTCCA